CAAAATTAATATTATACAAATTAATAAAAACCTTGCCAGAAAATTTTGGGAAAAGCAAAATTAATATTATACCAATTTAAAATTAGTTACCCCTTGGCTTATCAATTACACATACATGTATAAAACTTTGGGCCGAATTATCTTATCAAATTAATTTTAACAAATACAAATTTAAAAAAAATCCTAGCCCCCTTTTTGGGTTTGCCCAAAAATTTAATTTTACACATTAATATAATTTCTAAACTTGGCTTTCAATTTTTACATACACTTAAACAAAATTAAAAATAATCTTTAGCCACACTTGACTTATCCAAATTAAATTTTTTGCAAAAATTTAAAACCAAATAAAAACATTAAGGGAAAATTTTTGGGAAATTAACAACCACCTCCTTTTTGTCATTTCACATATAATTTTTAAGTAATTAACTTAAATTTAAGGGCTTTACTAATTACCCCCAGTTCGAGAAGGGCCAACGGGCAAATTAAATGTGGAAAATTGCATTTATTGAATGCATCTTTTTATACATAACAGTAAATGAAATAGATAAAATTTTTTATTTTCCGTTTGACAAGTTAAAGGAAATTTTGGGCACCTAGGTTGCAAAAAAAAGTCCCCCTTCGATAAACCCACCCTGTCAAAATCCACAAGTTGCTCTGGCCTATTAATTAAATGAAATATAATCCCCGGGGGGGTGGGAAATAATAAATTTGTGGACTGTAAATTTTAAAATTAAAAAAAGGGTTATAGTAAATACACCCATTTATTTTAACAGAAGGAGAAAAATATCTTAATCATAACACTCGCCAATTTGGGCTGGGGGATTAATTTTATCATATCAAAAAAACCCCCACTGTTTTTACAGAAAAAAAAACAACTGGCCCCAAATTTTAACATAACAGGCTTATCTGAGGTTCATGGGGCTGTTTTCGTCCAGTCGCCTGATATCTCAAGTTATGCAGGGTGCAATCCCCTTAATTTCGCCTCCCATTTGAAAAGGGGTCAGCCCAATTTTTAAAACCCCTAGGCACGAAAAATTTTTTCCCATTACAAATAACGTTTACTTGGCTCATTCAAACCAAAATGGCGACTCTATTTCTGCGCAGGCGCAGGTCCAGTTTCCCATTTTCCATGATATAATTCTTTTAAATCTCTGCACAAAATTCAATTTAAACCAGCAAATAATAGAGCCTACTAGACTGGACAATACACTAGACCTCATCTTCACTAACAATGATGATCTGATAAGAAATGTCACCATATCAAAAACAATATACTCAGATCACAACATAATTGAGGTTCAGACATGTATGCGTGGAGCCCCAGACCGACATAATGAGACTAGTCACGAGGGAGCATTCACCAAATTCAACTTCAATAACAAAAACATAAAGTGGGACCAAGTAAACCAAGTCCTAACCGATATAAGCTGGGAAGATATACTAAGCAACACAGACCCCAACTTATGCCTAGAACAGATTAACTTGGTGGCACTCGATGTATGCACAAGGCTTATTCCTCTAAGAAAAAGGAGGAGTAGATGTAAAATAGAAAGAGACAGGCGCTCCCTTTACAGGTGACGGAAAAGAATAACAGAGCAGCTAAAAGAGGTCAACATATCTGAAATGCGTAGGGAGACACTGGTCAGAGAAATAGCAAGCATCGAACTTAAGCTAAAGAAATCTCATAGGAGTCAGGAATCGCGGGAAGAACTAAAAGCCATAAATGAAATCGAAAGAAACCCAAAGTATTTCTTCTCCTATGCCAAATCAAAGTCGAGAACAACGTCCAGTATTGGGCCGCTACTTAAACAAGATGGGTCCTACTCAGATGACAGCAAGGAAATGAGTGAGCTACTCAAGTCCCAATATGACTCAGTTTTTAGCAAGCCGCTAACCAGACTGAGAGTCGAAGATCAAAATGAATTTTTTATGAGAGAGCCACAAAATTTGGTTAACACAAGCCTATCCGATGTTATCCTGACGCCAAATGACTTCGAACAGGCGATAAATAACATGCCCATGCACTCTGCCCAAGGGCCAGACTCATGGAACTCCGTGTTCATCAAGAACTGCAAGAAGCCCCTGTCACGAGCCTTTTCCATCCTATGGAGAGGGAGCATGGACACGGGGGTCGTCCCACAGTTACTAAAAACAACAGACATAGCCCCACTCCACAAAGGGGGCAGTAAAGCAACAGCAAAGAGCTACAAACCGATAGTACTAACATCCCATATCATAAAAATCTTTGAAAGGGTCCTAAGAAGCAAGATCACCACCCATCTAGAAACCCATCAGTTACACAACCCAGGGCAACATGGATTTAGAACAGGTCGCTCCTGTCTGTCTCAACTATTGGATCACTACGACAAGGTCCTAAATGCACTAGAAGATAAAAAGAATGCAGATGTAATATATACAGACTTTGCAAAAGCCTTCGACAAGTGTGACCATGGCGTAATAGCGCACAAAATGCGTGCTAAAGGAATAACAGGAAAAGTCGGTCGATGGATGTAAAATTTCCTCACTAACAGAACACAGAGAGTACTCGTCAACAGAGTAAAGTCCGAGGCAGCTACGGTGAAAAGCTCTGTTCCACAAGGCACAGTACTCGCTCCCATCTTGTTCCTCATCCTCATATCCGACATAGACAAGGATGTCAGCCACAGCACCGTGTCTTCCTTTGCAGATGACACCCGAATCTGCATGACAGTGTCTTCCATTGCAGACACTGCAAGGCTCCAGGCGGACATCAACCGAATCTTTCAGTGGGCTGCAGAAAACAATATGAAGTTCAGCGATGAGACATTTCAATTACTCAGATACGGTAAACACGAGGAAATTAAATCTTCATCAGAGTACAAAACAAATTCTGGCCACAAAATAGAGCGAAACACCAACGTCAAAGACCTGGGAGTGATCATGTCGGAGGATCTCACCTTCAAGGACCATAACATTGTATCAATCGCATCTGCTAGAAAAATGACAGGATGGATAATGAGAAGCTTCAAAACTAGGGAGGCCAAGCCCATGATGACACTCTTCAGGTCACTTGTTCTATCTAGGCTGGAATATTGCTGCACACTAACAGCACCTTTCAAGGCAGGTGAAATTGCTGACCTAGAAAATGTACAGAGAACCTTCACGGTGCGCATAACGGAGATAAAACACCTCAATTACTGGGAGCGCTTGAGGTTCCTAAAACTGTATTCCCTGGAATGCAGGCGGGAGAGATACATGATTATATACACCTGGAAAATCCTAGAGGGACTAGTACCAAACTTGCACACGAAAATCACTCACTACGAAAGCAAAAGACTTGGCAGACGATGCAACATTCCCCCAATGAAAAGCAGGGGTGTCACTAGCACGTTAAGAGACCATACAATAAGTGTCAGGGGCCCGAGACTGCTCAACTGCCTCCCAGCATACATAAGGGGGATTACCAACAGACCCCTGGCAGTCTTCAAGCTGGCACTGGACAAGCACCTAAAGTCGGTTCCTGACCAGCCGGGCTGTGGCTCGTACGTTGGTTTGCGTGCAGCCAGCAGCAACAGCCTGGTTGATCAGGTTCTGATCCACCAGGAGGCCTGGTCACAGACCGTGCCGCGGGGGCGTTGACCCCCGGAACTCTCTCCAGGTATATTCCAGGTATAAATTAAGAAAAAAATGGAATTGTTAATAGTTATGATAAGTGTACTTATTAACCACTAAAATAAAAAAGAATGAATTATGTGAGGAATATTTTAATGAAGATAGGACACCACAAACTTAGCTCTGATCCACCAGGAGGCCTGGTCACAGACCGGGCCGCGGGGGCGTTGAACCCCGGAACTCTCTCCAGGTAGCTACAGATAAGTAATTACGAAGAGTTATTGCGGTGTTCCGTAGCTTGGTTGGTAGCAGACTCGACTCACACATCAAAGTCCGTGGTTCGATCCCCGGTATGGGTGAAAACAGGACATATTTCCTTAAGATGCCTGCTGTCCAATATGCACCCATCAGTTATTATCAAGTGGGAGCGCTAAACCCGTAGGGATTATTCAACGTCTGTGGGGGGAGGGGATGGAAGGCATTCAGTCTCAGTTAAGCGAAATTGGAGCACAGATCCAATTCCCTAGATCAAGAGCCCATCACCAGCGCCAAGAAACCTCCCTTGAGGTGACATCAATAAAATAGGTATTTGGGTGTTAGTCGACTGGTGTGGGTCGTATCCTGGGACAAAACTGACCTAATTTACCCGAAATGCTCAGCATAACAAGCGGCTTTCTATATAGTAGTATGTCATTGATGTCAGCTAGGACTGTATACCTTGTACATGTACTTGTAGCAAATAATAATTATTATAATCATTATTATTATTATTACTCTATCCCCTGCCTGTAGCTAGTGTCGATTTTTTCCCGTTTTCGTCCACTGGAGTGTTTATTCTCATCATTAACTGCCAATGGAAATAAGTCACTTTGATTTTTCTGGGTTATTCCAGGTTCTCTACACATATGCTGCTATGTATGATAATCTATATAACTGTATTTGTGTATACCTGAATAAACTTACTACTGCTGCTGGGCGCCATGCATCAATTCCTAGGACTACAAAAAGCCTGTTGTTATCTTGACTCAGGTGGAGTAAATAAGTAAAGTTATTCAGGTATACACAAATACAGTTATTTATTTATTTATTTATTTAGTAATTTTAGCATACATACAGAGGTACAAAAAAATACAGGTAAGAGCAGCATGCCAAAGCCACTTATATGCATAGCATTACGGGCTGGCTTAAAATTAACTTAAGATTATCATACATAGCATCATATATGTAGAGAACCCGAGCCTTAGGTAAGAGGGATCTCCACCTGATTGAGAACTAACTGCTCTCACTTCTCTTTCCATGGTAAACTTTGTTAGAACTATCATTCTTCCATTTATTATTCTGTCTTAGACTTGGACAACACATCTTTCCTGGAGTCCCAGGAGGTAGGTCTGAATGGGGTGTAAGTTCTAGTAGCCTTTAACAACCGCAACAACAACTTTTGCTTCATGGTTTAAAATCTCCCAGTTCTGCCTGCAGTACTAGTGCATTACACTACTTTAGTACATCATAGGTTTCCTACACACTTACAAGGGGTGTGGAGTAATTAAGGTATAGTAAAAGTGCCCTAAATTGAGTATGGGATGTTTTCGTAATGCACAATGTTTTCAAAATTAAAAATTTTGATTTTGGTTTTTAGAACTGTGTTCCTCTAAAGGAAATAGTGAAAGGCTCTTAGTGGAATTTAAACTTGTCTTCCCTTTGAATCGAAACTAATTACCTGCCATTATCTAAGCGTTGTATGACCCCCACGTGTTTAGCGCTACCTCAATTTCTTAAATTTGTAATTCAGTAATGTAGTTTTTTGGTACACTAAATTTTTTTTTGGTTTAAGCTCTCTTTCTTTATCTCACTTCATAGCTCACAAATTAGATAAATTTTAGAAAGGAATAAGACACATTGATTTTTTTTTAATTAGGTTTATTCTACATAATTGTTCAACAGTGTATGTATACAACAATCATCCATTGCAGTTACATGCCTAACAGTAAGGCATTTTATTAAATGCAAACTTAAATAACCCATCTCTTTTGTAATAATACATAATTAAAATTTACCTCTCAATAACCTATGTCTAATCTTAAATAGTCTGTAAGCATTAGGATTAGTCTGCTCAAATTGCTCATGCATACTAGTGGCTTTCTTTGTGTTTAACAATATTATCTAGGTTTAACACTTTCCGCAAAAATAATACAACAGAAACAAATGTTTCTTTTCTTAAAGAAGGTGACACCTGACTGTGAGAGTAATGTGTTTATTGTGCGATAGATGGAGGATCGAGCCTCCATAACTCCTAGTGCTTAATAACTCATACGGGTTTACCACTTTGCATAAATACAATAATCCTGAACATTAAAATGGTATAAAATACCGACAGGTTGTTAGGTAAGACACATATGCAACAGTTAGGTATCTTTATTTGAAACGTTTCGCCTACACAGTAGGCTTCTTCAGTCGAGTACAGAAAAGTTGATAGAAGCAGAAGATACTTGAAGACGATGTAATCAGTCCATCACCCTTAAAGTTTTGAGGTGGTCAGTCCCTCAGTCTGGAGAAGAGCATTGTTCCATAGAATGAAACAATATGGAGATGAAGTGACAGGATGGAGCCTTTTTATAGCGCCAACAGGTGAGACGTAGGTCACTAGGAGAGGTAAGAACTCAGATGTTGGGAGGTCAGGTCCCTCTCAAATCCAGCCGTTCTCACTAGTAGAGGTTGTAGAAGTTGATTGTAGGTCTGTACCAAGATACCCTTGTGTTGCAGTGTCTGACAGATTGAACATTAAAATGGTATAAAATACCGACAGGTTGTTAGGTAAGACACATATGCAACAGTTAGGTATCTTTATTTTGAAACGTTTCGCCTACACAGTAGGCTTCTTCAGTCGAGTACAGAAAAGTTGATAGAAGCAGAAGATACTTGAAGACGATGTAATCAGTCCATCACCCTTAAAGTTTTGAGGTGGTCAGTCCCTCAGTCTGGAGAAGAGCATTGTTCCATAGAATGAAACAATATGGAGATGAAGTGACAGGATGGAGCCTTTTTATAGCGCCAACAGGTGAGACGTAGGTCACTAGGAGAGGTAAGAACTCAGATGTTGGGAGGTCAGGTCCCTCTCAAATCCAGCCGTTCTCACTAGTAGAGGTTGTAGAAGTTGATTGTAGGTCTGTACCAAGATACCCTTGTGTTGCAGTGTCTGACAGATTGAACATTAAAATGGTATAAAATACCGACAGGTTGTTAGGTAAGACACATATGCAACAGTTAGGTATCTTTATTTTGAAACGATACGCCTACACAGTAGGCTTCTTCAGTCGAGTACAGAAAAGTTGATAGAAGCAGAAGATACTTGAAGACGATGTAATCAGTCCATCACCCTTAAAGTTTTGAGGTGGTCAGTCCCTCAGTCTGGAGAAGAGCATTGTTCCATAGAATGAAACAATATGGAGATGAAGTGACAGGATGGAGCCTTTTTATAGCGCCAACAGGTGAGACGTAGGTCACTAGGAGAGGTAAGAACTCAGATGTTGGGAGGTCAGGTCCCTCTCAAATCCAGCCGTTCTCACTAGTAGAGGTTGTAGAAGTTGATTGTAGGTCTGTACCAAGATACCCTTGTGTTGCAGTGTCTGACAGATTGAACATTAAAATACTGTGTAGGCGAAACGTTTCAAAATAAAGATACCTAACTGTTGCATATGTGTCTTACCTAACAACCTGTCGGTATTTTATACCATTTTAATGTTCAATCTGTCAGACACTGCAACACAAGGGTATCTTGGTACAGACCTACAATCAACTTCTACAACCTCTACTAGTGAGAACGGCTGGATTTGAGAGGGACCTGACCTCCCAACATCTGAGTTCTTACCTCTCCTAGTGACCTACGTCTCACCTGTTGGCGCTATAAAAAGGCTCCATCCTGTCACTTCATCTCCATATTGTTTCATTCTATGGAACAATGCTCTTCTCCAGACTGAGGGACTGACCACCTCAAAACTTTAAGGGTGATGGACTGATTACATCGTCTTCAAGTATCTTCTGCTTCTATCAACTTTTCTGTACTCGACTGAAGAAGCCTACTGTGTAGGCGAAACGTTTCAAAATAAAGATACCTAACTGTTGCATATGTGTCTTACCTAACAACCTGTCGGTATTTTATACCATTTTAATGTTCAATCTGTCAGACACTGCAACACAAGGGTATCTTGGTACAGACCTACAATCAACTTCTACAACCTCTACTAGTGAGAACGGCTGGATTTGAGAGGGACCTGACCTCCCAACATCTGAGTTCTTACCTCTCCTAGTGACCTACGTCTCACCTGTTGGCGCTATAAAAAGGCTCCATCCTGTCACTTCATCTCCATATTGTTTCATTCTATGGAACAATGCTCTTCTCCAGACTGAGGGACTGACCACCTCAAAACTTTAAGGGTGATGGACTGATTACATCGTCTTCAAGTATCTTCTGCTTCTATCAACTTTTCTGTACTCGACTGAAGAAGCCTACTGTGTAGGCGAAACGTTTCAAAATAAAGATACCTAACTGTTGCATATGTGTCTTACCTACAATAATCCTGTTTTTAAAAAGATCACCCTATACTCTTATACCTCATTTCTCTCATACGTTTTTCACTCCATATCTTGAGAAAATCATTGGTATCACAGTTTTCAGGAACATAACCTACACAAATTATGATCATCTACTGTATATATTTAAATTTAAGTTAGGTAAGGTGAAGCAATGCTGGTTTTGTATAGTGAAAACAGCAGCCAGTGATTTTTTCCTACAGTGAAAATAAAGGCCAGAAATTTTCTCCCAGTACCATGAAAATATCTTAAATCAGAATGATTTTTATAGAAAAGAAGTAATATATTAATGTAATTCATATCAAGTCAAAGCTTTTTCAAGACTAGAGAGTACATGTTATTCATAGGTATATAATTAAGAAAGCAGGCGAGGAGTCATAAGGTGTGACTGTCAGGTTAGGAGGGCAGTGTGGGCTAATGAGCATGTGAGCCAGGGGTTCCACAATCTGGAAACTTCCCTGGTTCTGAGTGATGGTGTCTGTAGTATAATTGAGAGGAAATTCAAAGTATTTTCTTCTATTCGTGTCTTTTTCTCAGATAATTATTCTTACTCTATCCCAGTCCATGTGGACTGAAGCATTGTTAGGATGTACAACACCAGCATTGTGTTATTAGTGTGGCAAGCGCATGTGCATTTATATGTGCAGAGAAATCCCTAGTTGTCTCACATATACTGTACTCTATCATGACTACTACAAAAGATGACATTAATGCCTGCATTCTTCTTGAGACTGGTGTTAACCCTCTTAGACTTAGTATTGTCTTTGATGGTTGGGAGGTGACTGTGGTGGTAATGTATTCTAAATGGCTTTTTTTTTTAAGTAGCATAGGAGCATTCTTAGGTATCTTCTTAGTGTTCGGTGAGTATAAATTTCTACTTATATTATTTTCATTTATAAAGTACAAATAATTATCAATATTTTATCTTATAGTAGTTATTGGATTGCTGTGGTTGCTTCATTTGGCCTGGACAAACATGAGCTTACTTCAATAAGCAGATTGATTTTTATAACCCATTTAAATAGTCGGTGCAGTGGCTATTCGAAGACCTCGTTAAGTAATTATTGTATGAGTCAGTTGTGATTGGAATTTCCTTATAACAAGGCTGGAAGATGTATTATTGGTGTACTTTATCTGGCTTGTGCTTTTAGATGCTGGTGAGAATATAAAGTAGCCACAACTTTGCTACTCTTTCATATCACTCTTTATCACTGTGATGCTGCCAAATAACAGGACAATTTTTTCCTTTTTTTGAACTGCAGTGAGATATTGATTGAATGTTTACTTGTTGCACTTGAAATAGTTTTGTAGTCACATATTTATTTGTGTAAAATAAATTAATTTTTGTTGGTTTGCAGTTGTGGCAGTTAAAAGAGTTTAGTCATGGTTGGAAATAAGAAAACCTTGCTGGAGGACTCTCTGGCACGGCTGGATGCTGCTCTGGGCTCCCCTGGGGGTGGTGTTATGAGGACACCACGCACTGTAAGGCGAATGCTTACATCTAAAGGTAAGTATTTTATCTTGTGAACATGTAAGAATACAGGAAAATTTTAAAAACTTCTACTTACATTACCATTATATTAATACAGTATTTACTTTACTGTGTTTGTTAATACTGTTCTTTAGTTCTTATTCCTTAAATACATATTCTCTTCTTTCAACAAACCAGCTGTATCCCACCGAAGCAGAGTGGCCCAAAAAGAAAAACGAAAGTCTCCCTTTTTAACTTTAGTATAATGTATACAGGAGGAGTTACTAGCCTCTTGCTCCCGACATTTTAGTCGCCTCTTATGACATGCATGGCATACGGAGGAAGAATTATCTGTTCCACTTCTCTATGGAGATAAGGGGAAATAAACAAGGACAAGAAATAGTAAGAATAATAGAAGAAAACCCAGAGGGGTGTGTGTATATATATGCCTGTATATGCATGTGTAGTGTGACCTAAGTGTAAGTAGAAGTACCAAGACATACCTGAAACCTTGCATGTTTATGAGACAGAAAAAGGCACCAGCAATTCTACCATCTTGTGGAACAATTACAGGTTTCCGTATAATACCTATATCCTTTCCAGTTTAGGAAACCTGTTCTGAGATTGGGCTGCCAAGGCAATGATTCCTGGAATCATTAACAGATGTATATCATTTTTTTTTTCCTTCATGAGGATGGTACTGAATATTGTTAATATGAATGGCTGGTGAAAACTTCTGAAAGAAATGTTATTGATACAAAGGTAGAAGTTTTCAACTGAAAAATAGACAAGTTTCTGCAAGAGGCACTGGATCTGCTACACAAAGACATGAGTTGCAGAACAGGCTTTTATTGGGACAATGTTTTGCTCTGCAGATCTTTGTCTTCATATTGGTGGCAATATGCCATTTCATCCATCCTTTGGCGACTAGGCTTGCAGGGCACAGTAGGCAGCAATAGTCTGGTTGATTAACCAGTTATCAGGAAAGCCAGGCTTGGCTCTGATTGTAAAACATATGAATCTAGTCATAGGCACATTAATAATATGACTGTAAAATTCTGCAAATGAATGGTCACAGTTGGAATGTCAAGTCATTTTCTTAATAAATTTCTATTCAGCCGTATTCATTGCCACTTCTCATATATTTTTTATTTATTTTTTTATTAACACATTTGCCGTCTCCCACCAGGCCAGACTTAAGTCCTGGAAATGGGAAGTATAGTGCCTGCACTCTGAAGGAGGGGTGTTAACTATAGTGTAAGCACACCTCTGGCAAGACAGTGATGGAGTGAATGATGAAAGTTTTTCTTTTTGGGGCCACCCTACCTTGGTGGGAGACAGCCGATGTGTTAATAAAAAAATAATTAAAAAGTATTTGAGAAGTGGCAATGAATAGGGATGAATATTTATATGCTTCAAGCATTTTGTCACATTCATGCACTATATGTGTTTATCATCTTTTCAGCTTTCTTTTCTTTCTATTTCTAATGTACCATACCATTGTAAAGTTTTCTCCTCTTATGAGGCACAGAATTTCACGCTCCATGTCAGTATATAACATAATTTTTAGTTCCATATGACTGCACATGCTCCTCAGACTATATATCTCTGTTGCTTTAATTCCCAAGGTCTCACATTCATGCAACACCAGTATTTCAAATACATAAATTTACATTACCCTGGGTAGTAGGTTAGTAGACCGCAACCACCCAGGGAGTTACTACCGTTCCACCAATTGAATGGGAAACGGAAATCTGTACTTGTTTTACACAATGGTAGGATTGCTGGTGTCTTTTTTTTCTGTCTCATACACATGCAAGATTTCAGGTATGTCTTGCTACTTCTACTTACACTTAGGTCACACTACACATACATGTACAAGCATATATATACACACCCCTTTGGGTTTTCTTCTATTTTCTTTCTAGTTCTTGTTCTTGTTTATTTCCTCTTACCTCCATGGGGAAGTGGAACAGAATTCTTCCTCCGTAAGCCATGCGTGTTGTAAGAGGCGACTAAAATGCCGGGAGCAAGGGGCTAGTAACCTCTTCTCCTGTATATATTACTAAATGCAAAAGGAGAAACTTTCGTTTTTCCTTTTGGGCCACCCCGCCTCGGTGGGATACAGCCGGTGTGTTGAAAGAAAGATATATATATATATTCTTTCTTTCTTTCAACACACCAGCCGTATCCCACCGAGGCAGGGTGGCCCAAAAGGAAAAACGAAAGTTTCTCCTTTTACATTTTAGTAATATATACAGGAGAAGAGGTTACTAGCCCCTTGCTCCCGGCATTTTAGTCGCCTCTTACAACACGCATGCTTACGGAGGAAGAATTCTGTTCCACTTCCCCATGGAGATAAGAGGAAATAAACAAGAATAAGAACTAGAAAGAAAATAGAAGAAAACCCAGAGGGGTGTGTATATATGTGCTTGTACATGTATGTGTAGTGTGACCTAAGTGTAAGTAGAAGTAGCAAGACGTACCTGAAATCTTGCATGTTCATGAGACAGAAAAAAGGACACCAGCAATCCTACCATCATGTAAAACAATTACAGGCTTTCGTTTTACACTCACTTGGCAGGACGGTAGTACCTCCTGGGCGGTTGCTGTCTACCAACCTACTACCTAAATATATATATACATATATACATATATATATATACATATATATACATATAGGTAGTAGGTTGGTAGACAGCAACCACCCAGGGAAGTACTACCGTCCTGCCAGATGACTGTGAAACAAAAACCTGTAACTGTTTTGCATGATGGTAGGATTGCTGGTTTTCTTTTTCTGTCTCATAAACACGCTAGATAACAGGGATATCTTGCTACTCCTACTTACACTTTGGTCACACTTCACAGACACGCACATGCATATACAGTGGACCCCCGGTTAACGATTTTAATCCGTGCAAGAGGGCTCATCGTTATGCGAAATAATCGTTATGCGAATTAATTTTCCCCATAAGAAATAATGGAAATAAAATTAATCCGTGCAAGACGCCCAAAAGTATGAAAAAAAAATTTTTTTACCACATGAAATGTTAATTTTAATACACACAAACTGAAAAAGGCATGCACAATTACATGACACTTACTTTTATTGAAGATCTGGTGATGATTGATGGGATGGGAGGAGGGGAGAGCATTATCTTCTTACTGTTTAGAAGGGGAATCCCCTTCCATTAGGACTTGAGGTAGCAAGTCCTTTTCTGGGGTTACTTCCCTTCTTCTTTTAATGCCACTAGGACCAGCTTCAGAGTCACTGGACCTCTGTCGCACAACAAATCTGTCCATAGAGCTCTGTACCTCCCGTTTCTTCAAGACTTCCTAAAATGGCCATAACATTGTCATTGAAATAGTCACAAGCACGGCTTGCAACAGCTGTGTCAGGGTGATTTTCATCTATAAAGGTTTGCAGTTCAAACCACTCTGCACACATTTCCTTAATCTTTGAAGTAGGCACAATGGATTCCACAACTGGCATAGGCTTCTCAGGGTTAGCCCCAAACCCTTCAAAATCTTTCTTAATTTCCATACTAATTCTCACCTTTTTACCACAGGGTTGGCACTAGAAGCTTTCTTGGGGCCCATGGTCACTTATTTTCCAGAAACACCACCGAAAACACTGTAATAATACGAAATATTCCGAGTGTATGCTTGGATGTTACCGCGGAGGCTGGCTGGTAAACAATGGGACGGCCGGCACATGTGAGGGCACATTGGACGCGTCTCGGACGAAAATCGGTATGCGGGTTTTTAATCGGTATGCGGGGCAAAAATTTTGCGATAAAAGTAATCGTTATGCGGAAAAATCGCTATGCGATGCCATCGTTATGCGGGGGTCCACTGTATATATATATACATACATCTAGGTTTTTCTCCTTATTCTAAATAGCTCTTGTTCTTTTTTATTTCTTCTATTGTCCATGGGGAAGTGGAAAAGAATCTTTCCTCCGTAAGCCATGCGTGTCGTATGAGGCGACTAAAATGCCGGGAGCAATGGGCTAGTAACCCCTTCTCCTGTATACATTTACTAAAAAAGAGAAGAAGAAAAACTTTATAAAACTGGGTTGTTTAAATGTGCGTGGATGTAGTGCAGATGACAAGAAACAGATGATTGCTGATGTTATGAATGAAAAGAAGTTGGATGTCCTGGCTCTAAGCGAAACAAAGCTGAAGGGGGTAGGAGAGTTTCAGTGGGGGGAAATAAATGGGATTAAATCTGGAGTATCTGAGAGAGTTAGAGCAAAGGAAGGGGTAGCAGTAATGTTAAATGATCAGTTATGGAAGGAGAAAAGAGAATATGAATGTGTAAATTCGAGAATTATGTGGATTAAAGTAAAGGTTGGATGCGAGAAGTGGGTCATAATAAGCGTGTATGCCACTGGAGAAGAGAGGAATGCAGAGAGAGAGAGAGATTTTGGGAGATGTTAAGTGAATGTATAGGAGCCTTTGAACCAAGTGAGAGAGTAATTGTGGTAGGGGACTGAATGCTAAAGTAGGAGAAACTTTTAGAGAGGGTGTGGTAGGTAAGTTTGGGGTGCCAGGTGTAAATGATAATGGGAGCCCTTGATTGAACTTTGTATAGAAAGGGGTTTAGTTATAGGTAATACATATTTTAAGAAAAAGAGGATAAATAAGTATACACGATATGATGTAGGGCGAAATGACAGTAGTTTGTTGGATTATGTATTAGTAGATAAAAGACTGTTGAGTAGACTTCAGGATGTACATGTTTATCGAGGGGCCACAGATATATCAGATCACTTTCTAGTTGTAGCTACACTGAGAGTAAAAGGTAGATGGGATACAAGGAGAATAGAAGCATCAGGGAAGAGAGAGGTGAAGGTTTATAAACTAAAAGAGGAGGCAGTTAGGGTAAGATATAAACAGCTATTGGAGGGTAGATGGGCTAATGAGAGCATAGGCAATGGGGTCGAAGAGGAATGGGGTAGGTTTAAAAATGTAGTGTTAGAGTGTTCAGCAGAAGTTTGTGGTTACAGGAAAGTGGGTGCAGGAGGGAAGAGGAGCGATTGGTGGAATGATGATGTAAAGAGAGTAGTAAGGGAGAAAAAGTTAGCATATGAGAAGTTTTTACAAAGTAGAAGTGATGCAAGGAGGGAAGAGTATATGGAGAAAAAGAGAGAGGTTAAGAGAGTGGTGAAGCAATGTAAAAAGAGAGCAAATGAGAGAGTGGGTGAGCTGTTATCAACAAATTTTGTTGAAAATAAGAAAAAGTTTTGGAGTGAGATTAACAAGTTAAGGAAGCCTAGAGAACAAATGGATTTGTCAGTTAAAAATAGGAGAGGAGAGTTATTAAATGGAGAGTTTAGAGGTATTGGGAAGATGGAGGGAATATTTTGAGGAATTGTTAAATGTTGATGAAGATAGGGAAGCTGTGATTTCGTGTATAGGGCAAGGAGGAATAACATCTTGTAGGAGTGAGGAAGAGCCAGTTGTGAGTGTGGGGGAAGTTCGTGAGGCAGTAGGTAAAATGAAAGGGGGTAAGGCAGCCGGGATTGATGGGATAAAGATAGAAATGTTAAAAGCAGGTGGGGATATAGTTTTGGAGTGGTTGGTGCAATTATTTAATAAATGTATGGAAGAGGGTAAGGTACCTAGGGATTGGCAGAGAGCATGCATAGTTCCTTTGTATAAAGGCAAAGGGGATAAAAGAGAGTGCAAAAATTATAGGGGGATAAGTCTGTTGAGTGTACCTGGTAAAGTGTATGGTAGAGTTATAATTGAAAGAATTAAGAGTAAGACGGAGAATAGGATAGCAGATGAACAAGGAGGCTTTAGGAAAGGTAGGGGGTGTGTGGACCAGGTGTTTACAGTGAAACATATAAGTGAACAGTATTTAGATAAGGCTAAAGAGGTCTTTGTGGCATTTATGGATTTGGAAAAAGGCGTATGACAGGGTGGATAGGGGGGCAATGTGGCAGATGTTGCAAGTGTATGGTGTAGGAGGTAGGTTACTGAAAGCAGTGAAGAGTTTTTACAAGGATAGTGAGGCTCAAGTTTAGAGTATGTAGAAAAGAGGGAAATTTTTTCCCAGTAAAAGTAGGCCTTAGACAAGGATGTGTGATGTCACCGTGGTTGTTTATATATTTTATAGATGGGGTTGTAAGAGAAGTAAATGCGAGGGTCTTGGCAAGAGGCGTGGAGTTAAAAGATAAAGAATCACACACAGGGTGGGAGTTGTCACAGCTGCTCTTTGCTGATGACACTGTGCTCTTGGGAGATTCTGAAGAGAAGCTGCAGAGATTGGTGGATGAATTTGGTAGGGTGTGCAAAAGAAGAAAATTAAAGGTGAATATAGGAAAGAGTAAGGTTATGAGGATAACAAAAAGATTAGGTGATGAAAGATTGAATATCAGATTGGAGGGAGAGAGTATGGAGGAGGTGAACGTATTCAGATATTTGGGAGTGGACGTGTCAGCGGATGGGTCTATGAAAGATGAGGTGAATCATAGAATTGATGAGGGAAAAAGAGTGAGTGGTGCACTTAGGAGTCTGTGGAGACAGAGAACTTTGTCCTTGGAGGCAAAGAGGGGAATGTATGAGAGTATAGTTTACCAACGCTCTTATATGGGTGTGAAGCATGGGTGATGAATGTTGCAGCGAGGAGAAGGCTGGAGGCAGTGGAGATGTCATGTCTGAGGGCAATGTGTGGTGTGAATATAATGCAGAGAATTCGTAGTTTGGAAGTTAGGAGGAGGTGCGGGATTACCAAAACTGTTGTCCAAGGGCTGAGGAAGGGTTGTTGAGGTGGTTCGGACATGTAGAGAGAATGGAGCGAAACAGAATAACTTCAAGAGTGTATCAGTCTGTAGTGGAAGGAAGGCGGGGTAGGGGTCGGCCTAGGAAGGGTTGGAGGGAGGGGGTAAAGGAGGTTTTGTGTGCGAGGGGCTTGGACTTCCAGCAGGCATGCGTGAGCGTGTTTGATAGGAGTGAATGGAGACAAATGGTTTTTAATACTTGACGTGCTGTTGGAGTGTGAGCAAAGTAACATTTATGAAGGGATTCAGGGAAAACCGGCAGGCCGGACTTGAGTCCTGGAGATTGGGAAGTACAGTGCCTGCACTCTGAAGGAGGGGTGTTTAATGTTGCAGTTTAAAAACTGTAGTGTAAAGCACCCTTCTGGCAAGACAGTGATGGAGTAAATGATGGTGAAAGTTTTTCTTTTTCGGGCCACCCTGCCTTGGTGGGAATCGGCCAGTGTGATAATAAAAAAAAAAAAAAATAAAACATATATATATACACACACACACACATACATACATATACATACACACACACACACCTTTCTGGTTTTTTTTCTATTTTTCTTACTAGTTTTTTTTCTTGTTTATTTCCTCTTATCTCCATGGGGAAGTGGAACAGAATTCTTCCTCCGTAAGCCATGCGTGTTGTAAGAGGCGACTAAAATGCCGGGAGCAAGGGGCTAGTAACCTCTTCTCCTGTATATATTACTAAATGTAAAAGGAGAAACTTTCGTTTTTCCTTTTGGGCCACCCCGCCTCGGTGGGATACGGCCGGTGTGTTGAAAGAAAGAAAGATATATACATATATATATACACACACACACACATACATACATATACATACACACACACACACCTTTCTGGTTTTTTTTCTATTTTTCTTACTAGTTTTTTTTCTTGTTTATTTCCACTTATCTCCATTGGGAAGTGGAACAGAATTCTTCCTCTGTAAGCCATGCGTGTCGTAAGAGGCGACTAAAATGCCATGAGCAAGGGGCTAGTAACCCCTTCTCCTGTATATGTTACTAAATGGAAAAAGAGAAACTTTCACTTTTCCTTTTGGGCCACCCTGCCTCGGTGGGATATGGCCAGTGCGTTGAAAGAAGAAGAAACATGCAAGGTTTCAGGTATGTCTTGCTACTTCTACACTTAGGTCACTTCACATGCATGTGTAGTGTGTCGTCTATTTTTCTTCCTAGTTCTCGTTCGTTTATTTCCGCTTATCTTCTTGGGGAAATGGAACAGAATTCTTTGTCCATAAGCCATGCGTGTCATAAAGAGGCGACTAAAATGCCAGGAGCAAGGGGCTAGTAACCCGTTCTCCTGTTTATATTACTAATTTTAAAAGGGAAATTTAATTTTTCTTTTTGGGCCACCCTGCATCGGTGGGATACAGCTGGTTTGCTGAAGAAAGAAGAAATTTACATTACATTTATTTACCTCTTAATGCAACCTTCTAGTCATCGCCCTCCATATTTTGTTCTTAACCAGTAATTATACTTCTCAGGCTGGGTGTATCCTAAGTTTTTCTCTGTCACATATTCACAGATAATATCCATATGTATATCCCTTAAATACATAACTTAATTCTGTCTCATTTAACATTTGGCACAGATTTGGATGTTTCATCAATCATGGAAGGAACTCTGAGTGGACTACCCACATCCTTTTCACCTGTAATTCCTCGCACTTCGCACATTGGTTAGTATCAGTTAATTTTAGTAATATTTAGTAGTTTCTTTTTTTTTTTCTTTTTTAACAAGTCAGCCGTCTCCCACCGAGGCAGGGTGACCCAAAAAAGAAAGAAAATCCCCAAAAAGAAAATGCTTTCATCATCATTCAACACTTTCACCACATTCACACATAATCACTGTTTTTGCAGAGGTGCTCAGAATACAACAGTTTAGAAGCATATACGTATAAAGATACACAACATATCCCTCCAAACTGCCAATATCCCAAACCCCTCCTTTAAAGTGCAGGCATTGTACTTCCCATTTCCAGGACTCAAGTCCGACTATATGAAAATAACCGGTTTCCCTGAATCCTTTCACTAAATATTACCCTGCTCACACTCCAACAGATCGTCAGGTCCCAAGTACCATTCGTCTCCATTCACTCCTATCTAACACTCACGCATGCTTGCTGGTCCAAGCCCCTTGCCCACAAAACCTCCTTTACCCCCTCTCTCCAACCCTTTCGAGGACGACCCCTACCTCGCCTTCCTTCCCCTATAGATTTATATGCTTTCCATGTCATTTACTTTGATCCATTCTCTCTAAATGACCAGACCACCTCAACAACCCTCTTCTGCCCTCTGACTAATACTTTATTAACTCCACACCTTTCCTAATTTCCACACTCCGAATTTTCTGCATAATATTTACACCACACATTGTCCTTAGACAGAACATCTCCACTGCCTCCCAAACCCTCTCCTCGCTGCTGCATTTACCACCCCAAACTTCACACCCATATAAGAGTGTTGGTACTACTATACTTTCATACATTCCCTTCTTTGCCCATAGATAACATTTTTTGACTCCACATTTACCTCAAAGCACCCCCTCACCTTTTTCCCTTATCAATTCTATGATTAACCTCATCCTTCATAAATCCATCCGCCGACACGTCAACTCCCAAGTATCTGAAAACATTCACTTCTTCCATACTCCTCCTCCCCAATTTGATATCCAATGTTTCTTTATCTAAATCATTTGATACCCTCATCACCTTACTCTTTTCTATGTTCACTTTCAACTTTCTACCTTTACACACATTCCCAAACTCATCCACTAGCCTTTGCAATTTTCTTTAGAATCTCCCATAAGTCACAGTATCATCAGCAAAAAGTAACTGTGTTAATTCTCTTTTGAATTTGATTCCCCATAATTTAATCCCACCCCTCTCCCGAACACCCTAGCATTTACTTCTTTTACAACCCCATCTATAAATATACTATTAAACAACCATGGTGACATTACACATCCCTGTCTAAGACCTACTTTTACCAGGAAGTAGTCTCTCCTCTTTCTACACACCCTAACCTGAGCCTCACTATCCTCATAAAACTCTTTACAGCATTTAGTAACTTACCACCTATTCCATATACTTGCAACATCTGCCACATTGCTCCCCTATCCACTCTATCATATGCCTTTTCTAAATCCATAAATGCAATAAAACTTCCCTACCTTTATCTAAATACTGTTCACATATATGCTTCAATGTAAACACTTGATCTACACATCCCCTACTCACTCTGAACCTCCTTGCTCATCCGCAATCCTACATTCTGTCTTACCTCTAATTCTTTTAATTATAACCTACTGTATACTTTTCCTGGTATACTCAATAAACTTATTCCTCTATAATTTTTACAATCTCTTTTGTCCCCTTTCCCTTTATATAAAGGGACTATACATGCTCTCCGCCAATCCCTAGGTACCTTCCCCTCTTTCATACATTTATTAAACAAAAGTACCAACCACTCCAACACTATATCCCCCCTGCTTTTAACATTTCTGTCATGATCCCATCAGTTCCAGCTGCTTTAAACCCCCTTTCATTCTACGTAATGCCTCACATACCTCCCCCACACTTATATTCTGCTCTTCTTCACTCCTAAAAGATGGTATACCTCCCTGACCAGTGCATGAAATTACCGCCTCCCTTTCTTCCTCAACATTTAAAAGTTCCTCAAAATATTCTCGCCATCTACCTAATACCTCCCTCTCCCCATCTACTAACTCCCCTACTCTGTTTTTAACTGATAAATCCATACTTTCCCTAGGCTTTCTTAACTTGTTTAACTCGCTCCAAAATTTTTCTTATTTTCATTAAAATTTCTTGACAGTGCCTCTCCCACTCTATCATCTGCTCTCCTTTTGCACTCTCTCACCACTCTTTTCACCTTTCTTTTACTCTCCATATACTCTGTTTTTCTTATAACACTTCTGCTTTGTAAAAACCTCTCATAAGCTAACTTTTTCTCTTTTATCACACCCTTTGCTTCATCATTCCACCAATCACTCCTCTTTCCACCTGCCCCCACCCTCCTATAACCACAAACTTCTGCCCCACATTCTAATACTGCATTTTTAAAACTATTCCGAACCTCTTCAACCCCCCTACTACTCATCTTTGCACTAGCCTCCTTTCTGCCAACAGTCGCTTATATCTCCCCCGAACTTCCTCCTCCCTTAGTTTATACACTTTCACCTCCCTCTTACTTGTTGTTGCCACCTTCCTCTTTTCCCATCTACCTTTTACTCTAACTGTAGCTACAACTAAATAATGATCCGATATATCAGTTGCCCCTCTATAAACATGTACATCCTGGAGCCTACCCATCAACCTTTTATCCACCAATACATAATCTAACAAACTACTTTCATTACGTGCTACATCATACCTTGTATATTTATTTATCCTCTTTTTCATAAAATGTGTATTACTTATTACCAAATCTCTTTCTACACATAGCTCAATTAAAGGCTTCCCATTTACATTTACCCCTGGCACCCCAAATTTACCTACTACTCCCTCCATAACATTTTTACCCACTTCAACATTGAAATCCCCAACCACCATTACTCTCACACTTGATTCAAAACTCCCCACGCATTCACTCAACATTTCCCAAAATCTCTCTCTCTTCTCTATACTTCTTTCTTCTTCAGGTGCATGCACGCTTACTATAACCCACTTTTCACATCCAATCTTTATTTTACTCCACATAATCCTTGAATTAATACATTTATAGTCCCTCTTTTCCTGCCATAGCTTATCCTTCAACATTATTGCTACTCCTTCTTTAGCTCTAACTCTATTTGAAACCCCTGACCTAATCCCATTTATTCCTCTCCATTGAAACTCTCCCACCCCCTTCAGCTTCGTTTCACTTAAAGCCAGGACATCCAGCTTCTTCTCATTCATAACATCCACAATCATCTCTTTCTTATCATGTGCACAACATCCACGCACATTCAGACTTCCCACTTTGACAATTTTCTTCTTATTCTTTTTAGTAATCTTTACATGAAAAGGGGTTACTAGCCCATTGTTCCCGGCATTTTAGTTGACTTTTACAACACGCATGGCTTACAGAGGAAAGATTCTTATTCCACTTCCCCATGGATATAAAAGGAAAAGTAATAACACCAAGAACTATTAAGATAAAATCCAAGAAAACTCAGATGAGTGTGTATAAATAAATGTGTACATGTATGTGTAGTGTGACCTAAGTGTAAGTAGAAGTAGCAAGACATACCTGTAATCTTGCATATTTATGAGACAGAAAAATGGACACCAGCAATCCTACCATCATGTAAAACAATTACAGGCTTTTGTTTTACATTCACTTGGCAGGATGGTAGTACCTCCCTGGGTGGTTGCTGTCTACCAACCTACTACCTCAATTTAGTAGTATTTAAGATAAAAAATGGATATGAATGAATGGAACCACATTATTACTAGGTGACTGAAGAATAAACATCAGTCTAGTCTTCTCTACGTCAGTCTACTTTTCTGATACAAATATATGCTGAAAAATAATGCTTAGCAAAAGTCAGTGATTCTGTGGCAAGTTAGTCAAATTCTGAGGATGAGAGCTCACCGAGTTCTCTTAATATATTATCCCTTAGAAACATTTTCCAGTCCCACAGAGTTTTTTAAGCATTTTCCCATTAAACAGTTTCGTACCTTTTCAGTAAAGTGCATTTAGTGACCTTAAAAGGTTCTTGATATTTTTTTTTAAGTTTATTATATTCTGGCTTTCGTATCTTTCAAAGTTTTTTCCTTTTGCACTTCATATTTCTAATTTTTTCCATGGGGAAGTGAAACAATTCTTCCTCTGTAAGCCATGTGTGTCATAAGAGGCGACTAAAATGCCAGGAGCAAGGGGCTAGTAACCCCTTCTCCTGTATATATTACTAAATTTAAAAGGAGAAACTTTCGTTTTTCCTTTTGGGCTACCCTGCCTCGGTGGGATACAGCCAGTTTGTTGAGAAAAAAGAAATTCTAATTCTTCCATGGTGTCTATTAGTGACAGCTTTCATTCTTATTTTGTATTTTTAAATACATACAATTCTAAATAATTTTCCCTTGACTGCACTACTATGATCTGCTGCTCTCTTGAACTTTTCCTTTGACTTCAATATCTGCTGCTGTTGCTGTTCAAAATTGTCTTTTGTCAATTAAAACTTCTGGGTTCAAAAGGCACCTCTAAAAATTCATCTCTGCAATTTTGCAAAGGTTGTTTTTGCATCTATTGAAACATGATAATAAGTCATCTGTATGTAATAGAAGGTTAAACAGTTGCATTTTGTGATATAATAAAATGTGTAATGTGGTCTAGCCTTAGTGGTAATAATTAAAACATCTAGGTGAGATTTCACATTGCCTCACTGCTTTGATTATAAAGTATAGCATGCATTATATGTTGCTGTTTCTGCAGTTTTATGTCAGTATTTCTATCATTTTTTTTGAAACGCGAGCTATCTCCCACCAAGGAAGAGTGACTCTCGCTGTCATTCGTTCAATCATTGTCTTCCCAGAAGTATGCCGATATCACAGCTCACCCTCACCTCTCCTTCAGAATGAAGGCACCATACTTCCCAGGACTCAAGTCTGGTTAAACAATTTACCCTGAATCCCTTCAATAATGTTACTTTGCTCATGCTCCAACATCATGTCAGATCATTATATCCACTTGCCTCCACTCTTTCCAATCTAACACACTCACACAAACCCGTTGAATATCCTAGCCCCTCACAACCTCTCTTACCCCCTCCCTCCAGCCCTTCCTGGGATGACCCTTACCCCTCCCTCCCTCCACCCCAGATTTATATGCCCTTCCTAGTCATTCTATTTTGCTCTGTCCTCTCTGAATGTCATTTAAATTGTGATTCTTTTGTGCACTTCTGGCAAGACATTTGTTGAATGCATGATAGTGAATGTTTTAGTGGGAAATGGCCGATGTAAAAAGTTAATATAAAACTTGTATTTATATAGGAATTTTTATTTCAGGATTAAGTGCATTAGCCAGCTCTTGTATGATTGTAGATGATGTAACTGCTCCAGTACCTGCTACTATGTTAGGTGACACCACACTGGATGCTACAAGTGCTGCTCTTCTTGCTGATGATGACCCAGGAGTTCGGGCAACACAGGTACTTCACACAAGTGAAGCACTGCAAAGGTGGTGATCAGTGGTCCTTTGAATATTTTGTCAAGGCATCTAGTTTGATTTCTATCATTGCCAGTGGCTCGGAGCATATAATAAAAGTACAGTGCAGTACAAAACAACCTTGTCACAATCTAACCTCTAAGTCAAAATGTTTCTTCAGTCACACTTTTTTCTTTTACACATGCTTCACACTTTAAAAAATTATATATTTTGTTTTTTACCATATCAGCCATCTCTCAACACCAAGGCAGGGTGACATCCCTACAAAATTGACATTCATTCATTAACTGTCATGCCAGAAGTGCACAAACATCTTTGTTCAATTGATCCTCTGAACTGCAACTTCCCCACCCCTCCTGCAGAGTGTAGGCACTACTTCCCATCTCTAGAACTTCTCTTCAGAATTTGCTGAAAGAACTGTCATTGGCATAGAGCAACTCTGACAATTCCTCTTCATTAGCTCATTATCATTTATTCCTGCACCTCTCCCAAACACCCTAGCACTCACTTCTCATACAATCTAGTCTATAAATATTTTAAAGAACCTTGGTGACATCACATATTGTTGAATATAGGGAGTAAGCCTGCTGGTTTGTCACACAGGAGAACTATGGGGGGAAGTTAAAGGATTTACCCCTTCGCTCATTGATACTGAAAGGGTTTACTGCTTGTCATGTGTAGTTCTCATTGAGAATACAATGGCTTATACCTTCAGTCATTGTAAGTGAAAGGGTTATCAACTTCGTTCATTAATAGTGAAGTTGCTTACTACTAAAGTCATTGATAGTGAAAGGAGGTATCTCTACAGTCTTTGATAGTAAAAGGGTGTGCCCCTTCAGTTATTGATGGTGAAATGCTTACCATTAAACTCATAAGTTTTTGTTTTTTGTTTTGTTTTGACTATGCTGAAGACTGCAGTGCCTTATGGTAAGCTTTATTTTCTGCCTTCTCACATTGCTTAGTAATGAATTCTCTTTCCCCATTCTTTGACATTTTCTCTTTATTCATTGGTACTTGGAAGGGTAAACCTCAGTTTTCACATGGTTCTTCAAGCAAATGGCAAAATGGACATTTTTATGAAAACCAAACAAGCATGTGCCTCTCTTTATGAAATGCTTCAGATGTTCCTTTTTGGAATCTTCAACTCAGGAAGATATTTTAAATGTCTTTAGAATATTCTGCTTTTGATCATCTCAAGAAAGAGTTACCAGAAGAAACAATGCACCGAACCTTGTGTGAAGTGTGCTAGGAGTATGCAAAGTGTAATCCTTCCAGAGTGCACTGTGATTAATAGACTTCTGTTTCACATTTATGACAGGACAGTAGTACCTTCCTCAGTGATTTCTGTCTACCAGCATATTTCCTATTTAAAAGATAATATACAGTAGATGAGTAAGTAATTTGATCTTGATGCTACTTCTCAGGTGCTGTTTTCAGAATTCATAAACATCATGGTGTCCCACCCATCAGAAGCACAGGTCTGGGATGAATTGGAGCAGTATGAGCAAGTCTGTTGTCAACAAGTGAATTCCTTGGCCAAGCTCATTCGTAAGGTTCCAATACATCGTGCCAATTTTACAAACACACAAAAGGTTAATAGTGTACTGTAGTACTACTTTATTCTTCTTGTTTTGAATATGATATTTTTAATTTAATTTTTCTGTATACTGTACTTTATTTATATATATAGTGGTTGTTGTTTTTAATGTATATGAAGATCTTTATTCATGGTATGTTTAGCATACTGTGCTACAGTGAAACCTCAGTTTTCGAATTTAATTCATTCCAGATGTCGATTTGACAACCAAAATGAATGACAACCAAAGCAATTTTTCCCATAAAGAATAGTGTAACTAGGATTAATCCATTCCAGACCCCAATTAACAAATTTTTTTTTTCATCAAACCGGCCATATCCCACTGAAGCAGGGTGACCTAAAACGAAAAACAAAAGTTTCTCTTTTTAACTTTAGTAATGTATACATGAGAAGCGGTTACTAGCCCCTTTCTCACAGCATTTTAGTCGGCTCTTACGACACGCATGGTTTACAGAGGAAGAATTCTGTTCCACTTCCCCACGTGTGGTGTAAATATTATGCAGAGAATTCGGAGTGTGGAAATTATGAAGTGTGGGGTTACTAAAAGTATTAGTCGGAGTGCTGAAGAGGGGTTGTTGAGGTGGTTTGGTCCTTTAGAGAGAATGGATCAAAGTAGAATGACTTGGAGAGTGTATAAATCTGTTGGGGAAGGAAGGCAGGGTAGGGGTCTTCCTCGAAAAGGTTGGAGGGAGGGGGTAAAGGAAGTTTTGTGGGCAAGGATCTTGGACTTTCAGCAAGCATGTGTGAGCATGTTAAATAGGAGTGAATGGAGACGAATGATTTTTGGGACCTGACGAGCTGTTGGAGTGTGATCAGGGTAATATTTTGTGAAGGGATTCAGGGAGACTGGTTAATATTAATTTAGCTGGACTTGAGTCCTGGAAATGGGAAGTATAATGCCTGCACTTTAAAGGAGGGGTTTGGGATATTGGTGGTTTGGAGGTATTTCTAAACAGTCGTATCTGGGTGCCTCTGCAAAGACAGTGATTATGTATGAGTGAGGTGAAAGTGTTGAGTGTTGATGAAAGTATTTTCTTCTTGGGGATTTTCTTTCTTTTTGGGTCACCCTGCTTCAGTGGGAGATGATCGATGTGTTTAAAAAAAAAGAATTAGTAAGAAAATAGAAGAAAACCCAGAGGGGTGTGTATATATATGTCTGTAAAGTGTATGGTAGGGTTATTATTGAAAGAATTAGAGGTAAGACAGAGAGCATGATTGCAGATGAACAAGGAGGCTTTAGAATGAGTAGGGGATATGTAGATCAGGTGTTTACATTGAAGCATATACATGTATGTAAACAGTATTTAGATAAAGGTAGGGAAGTTTTTGTTGCATTTATGGATTTAGAAAAGGAAATTGATAAGAGTGGATAGGGGACTGATGTGGCAATTGTTGTAAGTGTATGGAATAGGTAGTAAGTTACTAAATGCTGTAGAGAGTTTTTATGAGGATAGGGAGGCTCAGGTTAGGGTGTGAAGGAGAGAGGGAAATTACATCCCAGTAAAAGTAGATCTTAGAAAGGGGTGTGTAATGTCACCATGGTTGTTCAACATTTATAGATAGGTTTGTAAAAGAAGTAAATGCTAGAGCGTTGGAGAGAGAGGTCTTATTAAATTATGGGGTATTAAATACAAAATGGGAGTTGACACAGTTACTTTTTGCTGATGATATGGTGCTTTTGGGGGATTCTAAAGAAAAGTTGCAAAGGTTAGTGGATGAGTTTGGGAGGGTGTGTAAAGGTAGAAAGTTGAAAGTGAACATGAATAAGAGTAAGGTGATGAGGGTATCAAACGATATAGATAAAGAAAAATTGGATATCACATTGGAGGGAGGGAGTATGGAAGAAGTGAATGTTTTCAGATATTTGGGAGTTGACTTGTCAGCGGATGAGTTTATGAAGGATGAAGTAAACCATAGAAATAATGAAGGAAAAAAGGTGAGTGGTGTGTTGAGTTATCTGTGGAGATAAAGAACATTATCCATGGAGGCAAGAAGGGAATGTACGAGAGTATAGTGGTACCAACACTCTTACATGGGTGTGAAGCATGGGTTATAAATGCTGCAGCGATTAGGTGGCTAAAGGCAGTGGAGATGTCATGTCTAAGGGCAATGTGTGGTGTAAATATTATGCAGAGAATTCGTAGTGCGGAAATTAGGAGGAGGTGTGGAGTTTCTAAAAGTATTAGTCAGAGGGCTGAAGAAGGGCTGTTGAGGTGGTTTGGTCATTGAGAGAGAATGGAACAAAGTAGAATGACTTGGAGAACATATAAATCTATTGGGGAAGGAAGGAAGGTGGAGTACGGGTCATCCCCAAAAAGGTTGGAGGGAGGGGGTAAAGGAGTTTTTGTGGGTGAAGGGCTTGGACTTCCAGCAAGCATGTGTGAGTGTGTTAAGAGTGAATGGAGACGAATGGTTTTTTAGCCTGATGAGCTGTTGGAGTGTGAGCAGAGTAATATTTTGTGAAGGGATTCAGGTTAACTGGTTAGCTGGACTTGAGTCCTGGAGATGGGTAGTACAATGTCTGCACTTTAAAGGAGGGGTTTAGGATATTGGCAGTTTGGAGGAATGTCTAAACTGTCATATCTTAGCGCTTCTGCAAAAACAGCGATTATGTATGAGTGATGGTGAAAGTGTTGAATGATGAAAGTTTTTTCTTTCTTTTTGGGTTTTTCCTTCTTTTTGGGTCACCCTGTCTTAGTGGGAAACAGCCGACGTATTAAAAAAAAAAAACATGCAAAAGTAGTATGACCTAAATGTAACTAGAAGTAGCAAGACGTACCTGAAATCTTGCATGTTTATGAAACAGAAAAAAGACACCAGCAATCCTACCATCATGTAAAACAATTACAGGCTTCCATTTTACACTCACTTGGCAAGCGGTAGTACCTCCCTGGTGGGTTGCTGTCTTCCAACCTCCTTCCTAGGCCAAATGACAATATAATAATATATTAATGATGTACTAACTACTACATAAAAAGTTTATAAAATTATACAGCATGGGGAAACTGTAAAAATGCATACTAAATGAAAATTTAACTGAAATACTATGCTCTAATAATTCCTTTTTTAAACTCAACAGTGCTTTTTACATCTTTTATTTTTGCTTTGATCTCTTTATCCTTCTTTGGATCCTTAATGGCTTGTTTCACAATTAAAAAGAATTGCACCCAAAATGCAAAATAATAAAAAAAAGTTCATAAGATGCACAACAAATGCTCAAGAGATGTTTACATCACTCAAGTTAGTGGCTATACTGACTCATACCCATGCTCTAGACCCATTTTCCAGTGCACATTTCATGAGCACATGACCTGAGCTGCTTTGTCCTGTTCCGTACACGCAAAAACTTTTCTGTTGACAACCAAAAGAACGTGTGAAAACCAGGACATTTTTTCGAACACCTCATTTGAAAACTGATTTATTTGACAATGCAATCGACAACTGAGGTTCGACTATTTTTAGTACAGTGATTTATAATTTTTTAAATGAACCAGTTGTATTTGTAAATGTAGTGTAATTGCCATCTGTTTTAGCTAGTTGTCTCCATATTGACTCCTTATCTTTAGCTTTCCCTGTATTTGTTGTCCCTTGGTTATCTTTTATGCAACATATTTTGGGACTCTTGTCAGAGAAATGCGTGAAGATGTATAGTAAAATTGTAGATTTAAGGAAAATCTCAGAGGGTTTATAGTGCTTAAATACTGAGCATTGTAATATACTACGCTATTTTAAATTTCTTTCAGGTTTACCAGCAGCTGCTAGGTGAGCGCAATACTTGGAGACTATTGGGGTCACTGTATAGTGAGCGCTTAGGTGAAGATACCAGCAGTAATGATTCACCAATGATGGACAATGAACCTACCACTGACTACGCTGTTGTTACTCGGCTTTATGATACCAACCGCACAGTTAGAGAGGTAATTATATACTTGTGCTGGTTCATTCTTGATGTTTGTGTTAGGGATGGGATGTTACCAAAAATTTTGCTAATGAGGATGCTCAGTTTTAAGCCAATACCAATACAGTCAAAATCAGTCGATGCTCACAGATACTGATAATATCAAAATTAATCAATACTGGTATTGGTACTCAATGTTAAGCAAATAACACTACCCGTATCATCAAAATTTCCAATACCACTGATAGTGATACTTTGGCACATTCTAATCTGTGTAATTGTTTATCCTCATATGTATATCCATCTCCTAGGTAGTAGGTTGGTAGACAGCAGCTGCTCAGGGAGGTACTGCCATCCTGCCAGATGAGTGTAAAATGAAAACCTGTAATTGTTTTACTTGATGGTAGGGTTGCTGGTGTTTTTTCTGTCTCATAAACATGCAAGATTTCAGGTATGTCTTGCTACTTCTACTTACACTTCGGTCACACTACACAAACATGTACAAGCATATATATACACACACACCTCTGGGTTTTCTTCTGTTTTCTTACTAGTTCTTGTTCTTGTTTATCTCCTCTTATCTCCATGGGGAAGTGGAACAGAATTCTTCTTCCATAAGCCATACGTGTCGTAAGAGGCGACTAAAATGCCGGGAGCAAGGGACTAGTAACCCCTTTTCCTGTATAAATTTCTAAATTTAAAGAGAGAAACTTTCGTTCTTCTTTTTGGGCCACCCTGCCTTGGTGGGATACGGACGTTTTGTTTTTTGAAAGAAGAGTACAGCCTCTCTTCACTTAGCGACATGGTCATTTACCGACAACTCGGACTTACGACAGGCTCTCTGACCAGTATATACATACCTAAATAGTGTATATTAAAGCTGATTTCCTCTCTTCTGTTTATTACGATGTACAGCACAATACTGTATAAACGTTTAAAAATACGTATACCAAAAATATATAAGTGGTGCAAGGGTGACATTAAAGCAGTATCTAAGATGGTTGACATAAACCCACTACCATTATAGTATGCTCCTCATTTAGTGACGAATTTGTTTATCGATGCAATATTAGGAACGGAACTCCGTTGTTAGGTGGGGAGAGGCTGTATATCCATCTGTACCTGCTTGCCTGTTTGTCAGCTTTAAACTGTTATTAGAATGGTAATGTCTGTTGGCAATGCAACTATTGAATGAATTATTTTTTCTTTTTGGGGGGGAGTCACCCTACTTTGGTGGGAGATGATGGATATGGTAAAAAAAAAATAAAAATACAAAGATGGATCAAGCCTTATTGGATATGGCACAAATATTTTATAATACAGTGGTCCCTTGAGTATGATATTAATTTATTCCAGAAGTATCATATCTTCAAAATATCATAACTCAAACCCCAAAATACATAGTTTTTGGTAATTTGCTTCAAGATGCCAGAACACACCCAACCTTCCCTTGGATTTTTGTTGTTGTTGTTGTTTAAATACTCTGGTGTTCTCTGAGTAATAAACAAGTAATAAGCTGCAGTTTGAAATATCTGGAGACATTGGCACCCAGCAGTAGAGTAAGCCTATCTTTTATAGGCTTATGTCCAGGCAAAGTGGCAGGATAGGGCAGAGGAGGCAAGGCAGGCTGGCAGGCAGACAAGCAGGCTGGCAGGCAGACAAGCAGGCAGGCAGGGAGGGAGATAGGTAGGCATGCAGACAGACAGGTAGGGAGGCAGGCAAGTAGGGATGCAAACAAAAATTATTATAGCAATGTTTTCCCTGTCAACAGGTTTTTTTCTCACAGCTTTAGGGTATTTATGGAATAATTCTTCACTATCGTTTTTTTTAGTATACTGCATGAAATATTGATGAAATACAGCATTAATAGCCACACTGTTCAGATTGCTTTTCGGAGACACTTCGCTTACAAAAATTTCTTTGTCCTCATTACAGGCACAGATTGTAATTGATTGTCTTCATTAAAGGCACAGATTGTAATTGATTGTCCTGATTATAGGTACAGATTATAATTGATTATCTTCATTATAGGCACAGATTGTAATTGATTGGTTAGAGAGGAATGCTGCAGATGAGTGTGACAACAACTGTTATGACCGTGTGGAATACTTTGGAGATACTCACATTGCATGGGAAAACACCCTTAAAACACTAAAGGTAAGATGTGTACACTGGGTAATATTTATTTTAACATACCAGCCATCTCCCACCGAGGCAGGGTGATCCGAAAAGGACAACTTTTTTTTTTTACATTTATTCGGTAAAAGTACAGTGGACCCTTAACCAGCGATGGCATCGATTAACGATAAATCTGACTAGCGATACATTTAAACGCAAAAATTTTGCCTCAACTAGCGCTTAAAAACCCGACCAGCGCTATTCGTTCTGTACCATACGCGTCCACTTTGGCCTGAGCGCGCCTCACTTGTCCCTTGGGTGTCAGTGTTTACAAGCCAGCCAGCCACCACGATCGCTTCCAAACATACAACAACTGGAACATTTCATATTATCACAGCCTTTGTAGTGATTGCACCTGCAAAATAAGTCACCGTTGGCCCCAAGAAAGCTTCTAGTGCCAACCCTACAGCAAAAAGGGTGAGAATTACTATGGAGATGAAGAAAGAGATCATTGCTAAGTATGAAAGTGGAGTGCGTGTCTCTGAGCTGGTCAGGTCGTATAATAAACCCCAATCAACCATCGCTACTATTGTGGGTAAGAAAACGGCAATCAAGGAAGCTGTTCTTGCCAAAGGTGCAGCTGCTGCTGCACCACAGTCAGCTGTTGTTGTTGCTGCACCGCCATCAGCTGTATTACTCGAAGATGTGGAGAGAGTGTTGTTGGTGTGGCTTAACGTGAAACAATTACCGAGAAACGATTAACCCCGGAGGGTTAGCCACCCAGGATAACCCAAGAAAGTCAGTGCATCATCGAGGACTGTCTAACTTATTTCCATTGTGGTCCTTAATCTTGTCCCCCAGGATGCGACCCACAACAGTTGACTAACACCCAGGTGAACAGGAAAAAATGCCTGGAACTAGTGCTCATATTGGTGAGGTTAGTGGGGAGGATGTGGAAGAGTTAGTGGAGAAGGACAATGAAGAACAAACCACTGATGAGCTGCTAGATCATCTTCAACAGTAAGAGGCCACACCTGAGGAAACTGCTTCGGAGGAGGGGAGAGAGAAATTGAAGAAGTTGCTTACTTCAAAGATTAAGGAAATGTGTGCAAAGTGGCTTAAAGTGCAAACCTTTTTTGATGAAAATCACCCTGACACAGCTATTGCAAGCCGTGCTGGTGACTATTACACTGACAATGTTGTGAAACACTTTAGGATAAAGGAACGAGAGGTACAGGCCTCTATGGACAGATACGTTGTGCGACAGAAGTCCAGTGACTCTGAAGCTGGTCCTAGTGGCATTGAAAGAACAAGGGAAGTAACCCCAGAAAAAGACTTGCTCCCTCAAGTGCTAATGGAAGGGGATTCCCCTTCTAAACACTAACAAGATCAACCGTCTCCCCTCCTCCCATCCCATCAATCATCACCAGATCTTCAATAAAGGTAAGTGTCATGTAACTGTGCATGTCTTCTTCAGTTTGTGTGTATTAAAATTAATATTTCATGTGGTAAAAAAAAATTTTTTTTCAATACTTTGGGGTGTCTTGCACGGATTAATTTGATTTCCATTATTTCTTGTGGGGAAAATTAACTTGACTAACGATTATTTTGATTAACGATGAGCTCTCAGGAACGGATTAATATCGCTGGTTGAGGGTCCACTGTATTAGTCAAAGAGCTGAAGAGGGACAAACTAGAATGACTTGGAGAACGTATAAATCTGTAGGGAAAGGAAGGCAGGGTAGGGGTCATCACTGGAAAGGTTGGAGGGAGGGGGTAAAGGAGGTTTTGTGGTCAAGGGGCTTGGAGGACTTCCAGCAAGCGTGCGTGGGTGTATTAGATAGGAGTGAATGGAGACGAACAGTTTTTTCGACCTGATGAGCTGTTGGAGTGTGAGCAGGGTAATATTTTGTGAAGGGATTCAGGGAAACCGGTTAGCTGGACTTGAGTCCTGGAAATGGGAAGTACAATGCCTGCACTTTAAAGGAGGGGTTTGGGATATTGGCAGTTTGGAGGGATGTCTGAGCTGTTGTATCTGAGTGCCTCTGCAGAGACAGTGATTATGTATGAATGATGGTGAAAGTCTTGAATGATGATGAAAGTTTTTTCTTTCTATTTGGGTTTTTCTTTCTTTTTAGGTCACCCTGCCTCAGTGGGAAACGGCCAACGTGTTAAAAAAAAAACTTACTATCGGTGGGATTCAGCCAACGTGTTAAAAAAAAACTTACTATCGGTGGGATTTGACCAGTTTGTTGAAAGAAGAAAGAACTTACTATAGTCAAGCAGTATGACTTATTTCTTGGTTTTAAGGAATATTGCATCTTCAGAGAATTGTAATGTCATACCTATTCCTTGTACATAGTGTTGGAAGACCCAAACAGTAAAAAATAGATAAAAAAAAATGTTTTTAAACACAGTCATCTTCCACTGAGGCAGGGTGACCCAAAGAAGAAATGCTTTCCCCGTCATTCACATTATCAATGTCTTGCACTCCTTTAGTGCAGGCATTATACTTCTCACCTTCAGGACTCAAGTCCAGCTGACCGGTTTCCCGGAATTCTTTAACAGAATGTTACCTTGCTCACGCTCCAATAGCTCGTGAGCCATGTGTTTGTCATGTAAGCCAACTAAAATGCCGGGAGCAATGGTCTAATAGCCCCTTCTCCTGTATAAATTACTAAAACAAGAAGAAAACATTTAAAAACAATTATTTGCACCAAATTATACTGTGTATTCTAAGTGGAGCAACGTCGGGCTAAGCATTTTCCCATATTTGAAGTGCTAAAACACCTTTAAATACATCTAATATCATGAGGAATAAGTGAACATTGTGTTAAACGTTAAAATTAATAATAAAAAAGGAAAGCACTCGTAATTGGGCATCAATAAGTGGTACAACATAAATATTGATGACACATTTATGCCACTGTTGTCAACAAGTGATCATTTTTTTCAACTTCAACATATTGTAATATCACAAGTTTTTATTAGGTTCCACTTATTCAATTCATAAAAATGTACTCTTTCATTCTGTAAGTTTTTTTTTTTTTTTCAAACTCGCACCCCATGCAGAAATTTTTTTTCAGGTATGCCACACCTAAGGGATTAAAGCAGTTATGTAAAAAAGAGATAATACAGTAATGTTGAAACAGGACTGTTGATAAGTAATCTTGGAGGTAAAAGAAATAAAAAGTACTGCAATGAGAAAGCTACAGTTGCCCTGTTAGTAAGGTTAATTCTTTTATTTATTTATTTATTTATTTATTTAAAAATTTGTGCACACATACAGAGGTACAAAAAATACAGAAAAGAGCAGTATGCCAAAGCCACTTATACTATGCATAGCATTACGGGCTGGCTTAAAATTAACTTAAGATGAACTAAGCAATGATGACATCGGTGATAAAACTTTAATGTAAACAGATTACTATAAAGCACAAGTGAGTATTACAAAGACAGGTCATATGGTTGTATGCATTGTTTTACATTCAGTAGAATGGAGTATTCTGTTAGGTAGTGTATTTAAAAATAATAAAGTTTAGATTGGGTTTTAGGTTTAACATTTATGTGATATAATTGTGAGAAACATTTAAGATATACAATTTATAAGGTTCAGTTATTCAGTATTTATTTGGGTTTTGGGTGAGTAAGTGATCTTTTAGAAGAGACTTGAATTTATAAACAGGTAGTGTTTTTTTATATTTACAGGTAATGAGTTCCAGATTTTAGGGCCTTTTATGTGCATTGGTTTTTGCATAGTGTGAGGTGGACACGAGGAACATCAAAGAGTGATTCTGTGCCTTGTGTTATGGTCATGTGTTCTGTTGAGGTTGGCAAGGAGATGTTTGAGGGGAGGGTTAATATCAGAGTTAAGTGTTCTATGTATGTAATAGGTGCAGTAATAAAGTATGAATGTTTTTGTATGGTGAATAGGTTTAGTGTATTGAATATTGGTGGAGTGTGCTGCCTATAGTGAGAATTTGTTATCATTCTAACTGCAGCCTTTTGTTGGGTAATTAGTGGTCTGAGATGGTTACTTGTTGTTGAGCCCCATGCACATATTCCATAGGTGAGATAGGGGTAAATAAGAGAGTGATATGGGCCAGGAGGGCTGACTGTGGAGCATAGTACCGTATCTTCGATAGTATGCCTACAGTCTTGGAAATTTTCTTAGAAATTTGTTGTATATGTGTATGAAATTTGAGTCTATTATCAAGGTGGATTCCTAAGAATTTTCCTCTGTTAGCTTTGTGATAGGTGATCCGTTTATCATTATGTTAAGAGGGACATCTGTAGCTCTGTTACCAAACTGAATGAAGTAGGTTTTTGTCAATGTTTAGTGTAAGTTTGTTAGTCCTCATCCAGGTAGATATTTTCTGTAATTCTGTATTTACAGTATTGGCTAGCGTGACTGGGCTCGGGTGGGAGAAGACGTATGTAGTGTCATCTGCAAATAGTGTGGGTTTGAGTAATTGTGAAGCATTTGGTAGGTCATTTATTGTATAGGAGAAAGAGAAGAGGGCCAAGGACACTTCCCTGTGGGAAGGAAGGAAGGAAGGAAAGGTAGGGGGTGTGTGGACCAGGTGTTTACAGTGAAACATATAAGTGAACAGTATTTAGATAAGGCTAAAGAGGTCTTTGTGGCATTTATGGATTTGGAAAAGGCGTATGACAGGGTGGATAGGGGGGCAATGTGGCAGATGTTGCAGGTGTATGGTGTAGGAGGTAGGTTACTGAAAGCAGTGAAGAGTTTTTACGAGGATAGTGAGGCTCAAGTTAGAGTATGTAGGAAGAGGGAAATTATTTTCCCAGTAAAAGTAGGCCTTAGACAAGGATGTGTGATGTCACCGTGGTTGTTTAATATATTTATAGATGGGGTTGTAAGAGAAGTAAATGCGAGGGTCTTGGCAAGAGGCATGGAGTTAAAAGATAAAGAATCACACATAAAGTGGGAGTTGTCACAGTTGCTCTTTGCTGATGACACTGTGCTCTTGGGAGATTCTGAAGAGAAGTTGCAGAGATTGGTGGATGAATTTGGT